CCTAGAAATACTTGAGTTTCCACTAACACCAGAATTCCAGCGGAACTTTTTTTTTTTTCATGTGCAAATTCCACCAACAGCTTGATTTGAAGGAAGCAGCTGCTAAAAGCAGCTAACTCTGCTGCTAAAGCCACATGAACTATTTCTTGTCTGTCCTGAGTTATGACATGGGCTGCAGCTACATCTCATATATTTATAAAGATTTATTGATTATGCTATTTTATGAATTTCACATGTATAACTCGTTCATTAGTCTGGTGTAGCTCAAACTTTTGTTCATTGAAAATTTCATAAAATCCAGAAGACTATTGATGTTTATGTGAATCTGGATACTGGATCAATTTTGCATGGACACCTATACTTTCATCCTTGGGTAGTAGACTACCAAAAATGAGGTGTGAAAGTAGGTCTTTTCTTTGTTTCCCTAAAAGGTTTGAAAAAACTAGTTTGTGATGAAATTTTATCTTGTGTAAAGTAGTATACTTGTGTGACAGATATATGGCTCTGGATCAATGATGTTTACACACCATATTGCTTTGTGATCTTTGTACAGTAGTATAGTTTTGTGACCTGAAAATTGTTCTTTGCTGAGTCACGTTTGCATTTTGAATAGTATCCTTTTTTAATGTACAATTATTCTTTCTGACTGTTGCTTTCTAACTTATATGGTACAGTGATGGAAAAACAGTTGGGGCCTGTCTTGATCGCAATGGACTTCGCCCGGCTAGGTATTGGCGGACATCTGATAATGTTGTATATGTTGCATCTGAGGTGCGCTCTGTTTCCTTTATTACTTCAAAATTCTTAATGTTTGGGAAAGCTTGAGTGCTTGGATGGATGGAGGACAACTTTGGTTCGTGCAACTGGCTTTCTGCTGATGATTGAGATAATTAATAAAGCTCTGTGTTTTGTGGGATAATAAACATAACCATTCAATAAAAATAAAACAGTTCAAAGATAGGGTATATTCATTTTGTCTAGTTACTAATGATAGTCTAAGAGTCAGTCATTAATAGTAGTCAATCAGTGAGGGTTCAGAATCTGCAAGAAGTATTAGTGATAGAACCTGTAAGAAGTATTAGTGATGTCTAGAAGTACTAAATGATTAACTGGGAAAGAGAAAATGTTATTAGTTCTGTTTGGAATACTACTTCTTAAGGAGTAGATGGATCTTCTAACGTATGAAATATGAGAGTCCAGCACCTGGCCTGTTGTATTTAGTTCTGTAGTAATTTTGCAGTACTTTTCAGTGTGCTTACCCTCAATCGGTGTCCTATGTGCTGCAGTGTCTTTTTGAGTGCTGGCAATTCTTTTGGTGGTTTGGTCTGAAAGAAACAGTTTCATCTTTTAGAGTAAAGATAGAGAGGCGGTGGATTTCTTTTGTGACAAGATAGATTCTGGGTCTTGCCTTGGGTGTCAGTCACTTCCTAATTCAAAGACTGTCCTTTCTTCAGTGAACATGGATTGGGATGCCACTGTCTCTTAGGATGTTGTGTGTCTGTGTGTATGTTTTTTGTTTTTAATTTTTTAAATTTGCTTGTTTGCTCGGCCAGACTGTCATTTCTATGTAATCACTATTATGAAAATTATACAGTGATGAATTATTAACGTCTTATCTTCATAATGTGTTTGATGTGAATAAACATTAGAAGCTGTTGACTCTGGTTTACGATCAATGTACTAAAAGATATTCGGTGTGCTTATCTTGTTCAGGTTGGTGTTCTACCTGTGGATGATTCAAAAATTACAATGAAAGGCCGTCTAGGTCCTGGAATGATGATAGCTGCTGATTTAATAAGTGGTCAGGTTTGTAGAGCACTTAGTTTTTTATTTTTATTTTCTGTTGCTTTGTCTCTGTATAAGATTACTGCTTTGGATTTGTTTGTGATGAACATTTAGTCCCAACAATGGTAGTAACTGGGGATTCATTGACAGGCCAAGTTTGTACAACATTCTTTTGGTTTTCCTTGGTGCTATATATAGATGGATGGTTTTGAAGTAACTATGATGATTATTGTTATATATATATATTTTAATGTTCTTTGTTCCTGTTTGTGTACTTCTTTTGTTTATTCGTTAATAAAATCGTTTATCTTAAAAATAAAAATAAAAAGATTATTGTTTTTTTTTCTGAGTAGTTTTCCCTTTATTACCTAGAAGTTTACCGAGTTTCAGCACTTAGTACCTAAAGTTTTTTCCTTTGCACTCTTGTACCCAAACTTATGTTTCACAGTAGATTCACCCTCCATCAGTTTGTGTCGAGGTTTGTTAAATGATGATGGTGCAGTAAGAAAAATGAAATTATTACTGGCTTGCGTATGTAATGTTTCTCTATGGTCATGGTTTAACCTGAGCATTTCATATTGTTTGGTCATGAGAGTACATAGGTTGATGTATGCGTTTCTTGTTCTTTTTTCTTTTCAAATCAGGCATATTTTCATCAAAATTTAACCTTTCTTTTTATTTTTCAGCTTTGCTACCCATTATCTAGGCTTCCTTGCCTTAAAGCTTATTTTAAATCTTAAGCATTTCAAATTGCAGGTTTATGAGAACACAGAAGTTAAAAAGCGAGTAGCCTTGTCACATCCATATGGAAAGTGGGTCCAGGAAAACATGCGATCCTTGAAAGCTGTGAACTTCCTTTCAGGCACTGTTGCAGAAAATGATGCAATCCTAAGGCGGCAACAGTGAGTTATCTATTTCATTGGCCATTCGTTAATGCAAAGATATGGTAGCAATCTCATATAAGTTCTTATCAGTATTATAGTCATGATTTTCTGCTGTACCCACATGATTGATGTTCCTACTTAATTTCTGTGATATGCATACTATTTTGCTGATATATAGCAAAAGTAATATTCAGTTTTTGATTGTTGTGGTATAAGATATCATGTACTGTGGTTTAGCATACCAATGTGCTCTCATAAAAAATCCTGTTAGATATTATCCCTTCTATGGTGTACATTTTTTATTGTTCCACAAGAAGAAAATCTCCCTGGCTGTGGGGTTTCTCTTCCTGAAATTGTCAAAGCCAAATATATGTAGCAGTAAACATACTTACTCTTTTGGTTTCTTTCTTCTTCCCAAGGAAAAGTTGCTTTTCTGATCACACCTTTTGTTGAGGTTTGGAACTGTTTTGTCTTCTATTTCCCATCTTATTGCATTGTAAGCTGCAGAGCAAGTATTTAGCCAGAGGTATTTCCATTTAAAAAGTAATACTAAAGGGTATATAAAATGTAATAATTAAAGTCTGATAAATTTGTCGAATTGAATATTTGTGCAAAAACCTCAAAGCAAATGCATGGCTTTGATTTCTATGAACTGTAGAGAATAGAAACTAAGTGGATGGTACTGAATTAATGACAATGGAATGGATAAGTTGATTTCTATCTAAAGTATCGTATTGGTGTCTCAGGCTGACTGCATTACTTGATTTAGTCCATCTATTTTATTGACGTTTCCAGTCTTTTTGTGATGGTCATGGTTTTACTTTGAGTATGGTTATTACATAAGTACTTTCTTGAATGGGGCTTATTTATTGTAAACTTCTATCGGAGCAGGGCATTTGGCTACTCCAGTGAGGATGTCCAAATGGTTATTGAGACTATGGCTTCGCAAGGGAAGGAGCCAACATTTTGCATGGGAGATGATATCCCATTGGCAATATTATCTCAGAGGCCACATATGCTTTATGACTATTTCAAGCAACGGTTTGCACAGGTCTGTTACTTACAGTTTTTATTGAACTTGTGAGTGGATGCCTAGATTACCTATACTATAACAATTTCCATCTTATTATTTTATATGCCAAAATTAGATGATTGATCTACCAAACATTTGAGTTTCCCTTTGATTATATTCTTTTAAACAGAGTATTAAGAGAGTAGAACAGAATCAGTTATCCACTGCTGTATGGGTTGTATATGCATAATTGTTAAAATGACTCTTGGTCTCTTTACATCAGTATGGATGCACTTATCAGCACCAAAGAATAATTGCTGTTTTGTTGGCTCCAATACCCAAATAATTTTTCGCCCGCAAGCAATAGCAATTCCATGGCCAAATCCCCACCAGTTCAAACAAATGCAACATAACCCAGATCGTGTTATGAAGGTCCAATTCAAAAGATAATATTTATTATTTTTTGTCAATGCAAGAGGAAATATGATCTGCAATTTCCCGTGCCCCTTTGCACAAAACACACTGTTGTGGAGATAGACAAGTATAGGGTCTTCTCTTTTGGATCATGTCAGAAGTATTTGTTTTTGCATGAACAGCAACGAACTAAATTTGCTGTCTTGATGGTATTTTGTCCCAAATCATGTGGACGGAAACAACATAAAACAGTACAATGATTGAGAATCATTAATCTTGTTGCACTTTATCGATAATTGATCTTCTTGTTCCTCATAACATGACACAGGGCCTAGTCTCATTTCAACTAGGGTGAAGCTCTTATTTTTAGTTGTATTTCCATAAGGGTAGAAGTTCTTACGTTTTTATTTTGTACTTTTTGAAATGTCTCTTAAAACTAAGGTTCTACCCTAGTGGAACTGAAACTGAGCCTTTTGTCATGTTGTCATATATCTGCATAAGGAACTTCATTAGTTCACACTGGAAATGTCCTAAAAGATGTTAAGGAATCAAGTCTCAACCACATCATACAATTATTCTTAATGTTATGGTCTGTATGTTCTTTCTGTAAATCTATTGATGTTGATGTAAAATGTGGCTTTTGTTAAATTCTGGGCAGCTATATGGGCTTCTGTCACTTCAGATTTCAAAGACCGTTCTTACTCCCACTATTTTGAGGGATATGGCTGCTGCTGTGATGTGAAGTGTTTTTTTTGTGACTTGTTCTCTTTGGGTCTTTCTGGTGTAGCAGTCTCTGTGTAGTTTGGCTGGTGTCTTTGTTTTTTTTAGTCTGTTTTTCTGTTGTTGCTCGTTTGTCTTGTGGATGCCTTATCCGCTTGTGTGTTCCTCTTCATTTTCTTTCAATAAATTTTGTTTCTATTAAAAATAAATGCAAAATTTGGCTTTTGATTTTATAGTTTATTTATTTTTGTAAGTAAGAGTTTTATTATGTTAATATCATATTTGTTTTGCCTATTGGTTATTCATTTTCTTCTTTGCAGGTTACAAATCCAGCCATTGATCCTCTTAGAGAAGGTTTGGTTATGTCTCTTGAAGTCAACATTGGAAAAAGACAAAATATTTTGGAGGTTGGACCTGAAAATGCATCACAGGTTTGTTAGCGTGTACCACTCTGCCTCAGATATATGTGATGGCAACTATAATGTCGTTGAAATGAAGATTATGTTTTAGTTTTTTCTCTTTTAATATAGATCTGATGAATTAAAATTTGTATAATTTTCTGGACCAGGTTATCTTGTCTAGTCCTGTGCTGAATGAAGGGGAACTTGACTTGCTGCTAAAGGACGATCAGTTGAAACCCCAAGTTTTACCTACATTTTTTGATATCCATAAAGGGGTTGATGGTTCCTTGGAAAAGACACTATATAGGCTTTGTGAAGCTGCTGATGAAGCTGTTCAAAATGGATGCCAATTGCTTGTGCTCTCTGATCGGTCTGATGAGCTGGTAAGGATTCAATTGAGCTTCTCTCTATTCATGCAAAACTTGTGTTTCTTTGTTCAACCATTTTTGAACTTGATGTAAGATCGGCCTGTACAATGAGAATAAGTTGAGTCATTTTCTTACTGTTATTCTTTTATTTTCTACGTAGCACTTTGCTCGGTTCTTTTTTAGCTTATAGGGTTTAACACCTTGCTGTAATTTGGAAGTCTTGCTTTGAATGTCAAAACCAATGGGATGAATTTCTCTATTGTCTAAAACATGGTAATCAATGCTAAAGATTTTACGACTCATTCTTTGCTACTTTATTTCCATTGGTTTTATCAGATTAGCCTTGTTCTCTGTAGATGATAGAAGTTTTAACAATTCAGTCATGCCTTTTCTGTTTTTTCTCGTCTGTACTTCAGGAAGCAACTCGCCCTGCAATTCCAATCCTTCTTGCTGTTGGTGCTGTTCATCAGCATCTTATTCAAAATGGCTTGCGAATGTCAGCTTCTATCATAGTGGATACTGCTCAGTGCTTTAGCACACATCAGTTTGCCTGCTTGATTGGATATGGTGCAAGGTCAATTCTCAATCACACAAGTTATTTTTCAAAGAATCCTTGGGTGTTTTTCTACTTTTCTTTGTTGCTGCTTTGTGTCAATAAACATATAATAGTAATTGCCATTAAAGTTGTGTACTTTTATTATGTGTGTAGTGTAGAAACATTTTCTTCATCTTAGGTTCACCACCTGGTACTTTACCATATTATTCAATTTATATTACATCTTGACTATAAGAAAAGCTTGTACCAGAAAACCAAAACAGATTATAATGCATCATTTACAAATGCTGGGAGTTTTCCGATTAATTGTATGAGTAACTCTTCCATATTTGAAACAACATATTAAAATGTTAAGGGTCCCCATATTCATTTGTTATGTTCATTGCATGAATTTCACAAAATGTATAGACCTACTTCCTAACAATTTTGTATCTGTTTCAAAATGCATAACATTATATTTTTAATTGGTCTTTGCAGTGCTGTGTGCCCATACTTGGCATTGGAGACGTGTCGGCAATGGCGTCTGAGTACTAAAACAGTAAATTTAATGCGGAATGGGAAGATGCCCACTGTAACGATTGAACAAGCTCAAAAGAATTTCTGCAAGGTCAGTACAATAGTACAACTGTATAAGAAGTAAAATTCCTGTTTGGTAATTTGATTCCTGTTTTTAATGGATTATTATGTATGCAATAACTTTTGCAACCCATATTTTGGGAAAATTGGTTAAATCTTGAAAGTAGCTTCTTTTCTTTTATATGTTTTTCCTTAGAGTGGTGGTATAATACATGCTAAGCATTATCCAACAACTGAGCAAGAGCAAATAAGTAGTTTTGTATTATGGATCTTCTGGTTGAAAATGTAATTAATAAAATGAGCCATGATTCTTTTTCGTTCTTGGAACTTGCTTTTGTCAATACTATTTAATAATGATGGACAAGGTTTACTACTCGTCCACTGCACACATTGAATACATAATACTGGGAAACTGATTGTTTCTAACTATTTCAGGCTGTTAAGGCTGGTCTTCTTAAAATTCTTTCCAAAATGGGCATCTCGTTGCTTTCAAGGTACAAATGCTGATTCATTATCTTTTAAATTTTAAATTTATCTTTCTTTGTATCTTTCTTTCTAAGCTATGAATTCTGATTTAATATTCATGCTCTCTTAACACATTTTTATCTTTAGTAAATTTGTTTTGTCCCTCACTTTATCCGGTTAATTGACAAATCCTTTTTACCTCTTTCCCCGGACATAGTTATTGCGGTGCACAGATATTTGAGATTTATGGATTAGGGAAGGAGGTTGTTGATCTCGCATTTTGTGGGAGTATATCAAGTGTTGGTGGATTAACTTTTGATGAGGTAAGAATCATGGAAAACTTGAAAATTATGGTTGCAGATTGAACAGCAGTACCATCATCATGCATAAAAATATTATGTATATCTGAACATATATATGTAGTGTATATATTTTCAATGATCCAAACCATCTATTTTTTAAGTCGACCTTCATAGGTCATCCTTGCAAAAAATGAGAGAAATCGAAAATCGTTTCGACATCCAATTGTGCCCTACAAAATCAATGAACTACTTCAAGAAAGTACTAAAATTTCAATAATTCAATTGAGTGGTCAAATGATGTCGGATTCAAATGATTTTGTGTAGAGATGATCTTTGAATGAATATCTACAAAATAGACTTTTGGATTAGTAAAATATAATACGGAGTGGGCTCTATAAGGGTGTCCCTCAAATAAGCTTATTTGAGGGATCCCTCCATGGAAGCACTCTGTATATTTGTATATATATATTTTTATGTTTCAGTTAAATGTAGATTAATAAATTATGTTATATATATATTTAATTCAAATCGCACATATTGACTCGTCTCCATGTTTATAGTTTAGGTCTGGTAATTGATAATATGATGCAAGAAAAACAGAAAGAGCAACGGTGTTGTGAAAATATATAATTTTAAACCACTGCTACTGTCGATATGCACACAGGTTGCATTTACTAATAATATTGTGCAGCCAATCTTAGGTTGTTAGGAGACTGTCATAACAATATTGTGTTTAAAATATCACGCTCTCCTGACTCACATATCCAGTGAATTTATTTTTTGGTTATTTTAATTATTTTTCTTTCACAGCTTGCAAGGGAGACTTTGTCTTTCTGGGTGAAGGCTTTCTCTGAGGATACAGCTAAAAGACTTGAAAATTTTGGATTTATACAATTCAGACCAGGAGGTAACTGTTATTATCAAACATTTATCTTCAGGGACTGGTGCCCATACCTCGCTGCAGTGTCCATACTTCCATAAATAAATAAACTGTAAAATTTGGGTAACAAGAATACCAGCTGGAAGCAAATCTATATGCTGGCTTTAGTTGTGTAAAATGAAAATTATTTCGAACTCAGCCGAAGTATATGTTTGATCAAATTATTTGATACCTGATGTCATTGCTTGATCAAATTAATTTTTTCCTCAAAAGTTCTTAAGAAACCCTTGTTTGTTTCTTTATTATAAGGTGAGTATCATGGAAACAACCCAGAGATGTCAAAACTGCTCCACAAAGCTATTCGCCAAAAAAATGAAAATGCTTTTTCAGTTTATCAGCAGCATTTAGCTAACCGGCCTGTGAATGTGAGTGCTCAAGTCATTTATTTCTTTTTCCTGTTTATTTTCCAATAATTCATGATATATTTTATAAGAAAATTCCAGACTTGGATTATCTTTGATTTTGACCTTTACATTGTTAATTCAAACCTTAGGTGCTCCGCGATCTCGTTGAGTTCAAAAGTGACCGTGCTCCAATTCCTGTGGGAAAGGTTGAACCTGCTGTATCCATTGTTCAACGGTTCTGCACCGGTGGGATGTCACTTGGAGCTATTTCAAGAGAAACTCATGAGGCTATAGCCATTGCAATGAATAGAATAGGTGGAAAGTCAAATTCTGGAGAAGGTGGCGAGGTAAAGCTTTTACCTCCAACTTTTTTATGTGCATATACAGTTATCTTTTAATGCATTATTTCATCAGTTCAGTGTTTCAATGATGATTATATTTATAAAATTTAGATTGTGTAACCATTCTTCAGGATCCTATTCGTTGGAAACCACTTACAGATGTCGTTGATGGGTACTCTCCGACCCTTCCACATCTCAAAGGTCTTCAAAATGGAGATACTGCTACAAGTGCCATCAAGCAGGTAACAACATTGAACATTTTTCTTTAATTTAATGTGGACTCCCCAATGCATATTTATAAGAAATCCGTTGTGGCACTAGCTGCAAACAGCTTTTACTACCTTGTCTCAGTAGTAATAGCATATACGAAAATATTTGAGAAGTGAAGTTGAAAGTAGCCTTCTTTCAATCTTTAAGTATTAGGGTGTCCTTTGTCTATATAATGATAACTGAAATGGATTTGATTATGCATTTCCTATAACCAATATATCACAAAAATCTTTGATATATCTTCAGGTGGCTTCAGGACGTTTTGGTGTCACTCCAACCTTCTTGGTCAATGCCGATCAGCTGGAAATCAAAATTGCCCAAGGTGCGAAGCCTGGGGAAGGTGGCCAATTGCCTGGTAAAAAAGTTAGTGCATATATTGCAAGGTTGAGAAATTCTAAACCTGGGGTTCCACTCATATCTCCACCTCCACACCATGACATTTATTCCATAGAGGATCTTGCACAATTGATCTATGATCTTCACCAGGTGATTGTTTGATGCAAATTTGGTATGCTTAATTTCTTACTGAAATATCACAAGATTGCTGATAAAAGATACCAATGTCCACTGAATGAATAGGTGAACCCTAAAGCTAAGGTGTCAGTAAAGCTTGTGGCAGAAGCTGGAATTGGCACTGTTGCTTCTGGTGTTGCAAAGGGTAATGCTGATATCATACAGGTACTCATCCTAAACCTTGAATGGGCACTGAATGATTATGTTAATCATTTGTCTTATTTTTAAAATATACATCTCTTATGTACTGGGTAGGATGCTCATTTTGATGGTCTAGCTTCTGTGTCTCTTTATGTTGCTGTCAACATCATGAATTTAAGTTTCTTTGGGTAACAGTGAAGAGAATACTTTTAGCCATCATTTATCATTTTCTTTCCTAAATGTTATCCACTTTGCTTCTTGGAATGAAAGGAAAAAAAGAAAAATCCTACATCTGCATTTTCTGCTGTCTGGTAAGTTGAAAGCAGTTTATTAAGTTGTAATGTAATACCCATAGTATATGTTATAAAAAAGAAACAATGAGTCCTCTGCTACATGGATATCCCAAAAACGAACTGCTCCCTGTATTTATAACAAATTATAAAAAAAATACCTCTCATGAGATGTCTTTTCTTTATTTTTATTGGCTAAGTTATAGCAAACATTGCTTTATGGCATTAATAAATACTTTCTTTTCTGTTCTGCCTGCAAGTTGTAATTTATAGTTATGGTTTTTATCACCAAATGCATCCGGGTTCACGTTTAAAACTTTATTAATATTATTTTATGATAACATATCTTTCATACTAGTTTACTTGTTTTCGAAGTGCTTGCATAGTTGCAGTATTAGTGTGATAGGAAAGCAACTGTCAGAAGTTGTGACTAATATCTCTATTATTTGTTTCTCATTTTTCTGAGACAAAAACCTCTTTTTATAATGTGCAGATATCAGGCCATGATGGTGGAACTGGAGCCAGTCCTATAAGTTCCATCAAGCATGCTGGTGGTCCCTGGGAACTAGGACTCACAGAAACACACCAGGTAATTCAATGAAACTTAAGAACTAGATAGGGTGACTTCTTCTTTTGATTTGATGTCTTTGAATATGCTTTAAGTGTTATTCGGTATTTGGAAAATTTTGACAGACACTCCTTTCAAATGGACTGAGAGAACGAGTCATTTTAAGAGTTGACGGCGGCTTTAAAAGTGGAGTTGATGTCCTAATGGCTGCAGCAATGGGGGCCGATGAATATGGATTTGGTTCTGTGGCAATGATTGCTACGGGATGTGTTATGGCCCGCATTTGCCATACAAATAATTGTCCAGTTGGCGTAGCCAGTCAGGTATCAGAGATTGATTTTCTTATATTTTATTATGAGTAATGATACACTTAAGAATCTTATAGACTTGGGCTACTCCATGACATGGAACGACATGTGGCTTGCCATTTGGTTTCCTGCTACACGTGATATAAGCATGGGGTGGGTGTGAGCGATAAACATGTCAAGCAACATCAATAGCCACGTTCTGAAAAATTAATTTAAAGAATTGTCAGGGGAGTATGTTTAGCATTTTCCATTTTTTTATTGTTTCATCTTTTTTCTTTCTAATGGAAACTGGGTTGCATTATTTCGTTCCCTTTTATCAATTTATTTTTAGAGAGAAGAACTGCGTGCTCGATTTCCTGGAGTTCCTGGTGATCTTGTCAACTTTTTCTTATATGTTGCTGAGGAGGTAACCTTCCGTCTGTTTTGTTTTTTTGTTTTGTTTTTAATTTTCATATATGAACAGGATTCGTGCTTAAATTTCTCATCTGCTGTTTTATTTTTTGTTTATTTGTGTACAATTGTACTTTTGAAAAATCCATACGGGTCATTCTGTCAAAGTTAATCTTCCTTATATGATATTGTTTCTTTCTTGATTATTGTTTTCCCCAGGTAAGAGGTATGTTGGCACAGTTGGGATATGAGAAGTTAGACGATATAATTGGGAGGACAAATTTACTTAGGCCGCGAGATATATCTCTAGTGAAAACACAACATCTTGATCTCAGTTATCTTCTCTCAGTATGTATTTGAATAATTCATTTTGTTTCTTGCCCCTGCATTTAATATTCTTGACATGATTTTTTCTTATAACTTGCTTTGATTCCAGAACGTTGGATTACCAAAATGGAGCAGTACCATGATCAGGAATCAAGATGTTCACACTAATGGACCCGTTCTAGATGATATTTTACTAGCAGATCCAGAGGTAACACTTGGACTGATGCTTGCTTGTTTAGCTAAATAAACGCTGTTTGTACTTTCTGATAACTCTCTAGCTTCAGATTCTCTAAACCAACAGCTTTATGGGCATCCAGATAGGAAGATGGGATTTTACTATAGGTTTGATCTGCATGTTTGAAGTACTTAATGTTCCATTGTACTAGTAAGTGAAGGAAAAGAGATTTATTAGGTCTATTGTGACATAGCTAATGATCACAGGGAATCTAATTGTGTCGCGTGTATGTCTATTTTTTTTTCTTCGTTACGGTTATATATATAAGCTTTAAAATGTTGACACTCAGTGTAATTATTTCCTGTTTGTTGGTTTACATTTTTCTTACATAACCCATATCTTTGAAAGGCCAATTTTCAGAAATTGAAAAACCCTCAATTTGTTAAATAACCTAAATGATACATAAAATATTTCCTGTTTGCTGGCTGCATATTATTGTTTTGTTGATTTTCTATGAACTTATCAGACATTTTTGAATTTGGGTGTTTGATGTATGTTGTTGTGGATGAGAATCTTGAAGATATGTTAGTAGGACATGTACATATTCACGATAGGCAGTTTTGGGAGGATGGATAATGGAGAGAACTGCTTTTTCCATTAGTTTGTGATTTTAAAGTGGGAAATGTTGTTGCTATTATATCTTTGGCTGTTGAGTCCAAAATTTTCTGAATTTAATGATTTTATGAAATTTGGTTTTAATTTGATACTAGAAGATGTCTTGTTGTTAAGCATTAAGTATTATATATTACAATGAGGGAACAAGAGTAGGTATTTTGTGTTAGTGATAGTTAAAAGTTAGCAACCAATTCCTTTCTTTGAAATTGTTCAAACATGTATGTATGGAAAGAAAAGCAAGAAAATTGATACTGGCTTCTAAATGAAAAACTAACTTGACGATCAAGAAAATGAATATAAAACAGAGCTCAGAGAGTCATGCATTTTCCTGCTGTTGCAAAAACTTGAGGAAATATTATTTGTATTTTTACAGATATCAGATGCAATTGAGAATGAAAAGGTGGTCTATAAGACCATAAAGATATACAATGTTGACCGTGCAGTTTGTGGGCGTATAGCAGGAGTGGTTGCCAAAAAGTATGGTGACACTGGTTTTGCTGGGCAGCTGAACATAACGTAAGATGGAGCATGGTCATGTCATATATAGATATATTCTCAGGTCTGGTCAGCATATATTTTTGGGATGAAAGCTAATGAGTTTTCTCCATTGTATTCAGCTTTACAGGGAGTGCTGGACAGTCATTTGGGTGCTTCTTGACACCTGGGATGAACATTCGGCTTGTTGGAGAGGCAAACGATTATGTCGGAAAGGTATCTTTCATTTGATGCAATCTTCAAGATCTCAAAGGTTCAAGTAAACTAGAGACTTGGCTTAACTTTATTTAAGTTCGTTTGTTGAATATTCTCCATTGTTATGAGTCTGTCAAGTAGAGGAGTTGCTTGTTAACTATGATGTATTAGCTTAGTGGTTGTCATTGAAAGTGATTATCATGTTCAAGAGGTGCATTTTGTTGCAGGAATCATGTTTTCATTTGGGTTTTATAATGTTGAAACTAAAATTGGGTTATATCAAGTTTGGCTAATTTGATTTGCCAACTCTACTGTCCAACTATTTTCTCTATTCTAAATTTTGAGCAGTTACTGAATACTTTAATCAGTTTTACTCATGAGAGTCTGAAATTGGAAAAATCATTTCTGCAAGAGTATTTCTGGCGGCGAGTTGGTTGTGACTCCAGTTGAGAATACTGGGTTTTGCCCTGAGGATGCAACTATTGTAGGGAATACCTGCTTGTATGGAGCCACTGGGGGTCAAATCTTCATTAGAGGGAAAGCTGGGGAACGATTTGCTGTAAGAAACTCACTTGCGCAAGCAGTGGTTGAAGGCACCGGAGACCACTGTTGTGAATACATGACTGGCGGTTGTGTAGTTGTACTTGGAAAGTGAGTAGCATCTCTTTACATAGCATATTTTTTGTGACATGAAAATACGAATTATATAGAGTTAATGTTCAAGCTACTTCTGTTTGATTTCTGACAGAGTGGGTAGAAATGTTGCTGCTGGAATGACTGGAGGTTTGGCATACATTCTTGATGAGGACAATACTTTCATCCCGAAGGTTTGTGGTTATTGCCTTTTCTTTTCAGTTTTGTTGGCTGTCCTCCTTGGACATTATATTCTTTATTACTATATGATATCTAATAAATTAATCAATAAAAAGCATCGATATGGTTTACAAATATTATCTTGGTCTTTATTGCACGGCTGTGTATTTTTCTTCATAAGTTTGGAGACCTTTTTATATCTATCTTCATAGCACTGCATGGCTTTGGTAATCCATTTTATCACTTGTTCCCAACTAAATTATTGGTTTAAGTCCGTCAAAATGTGTGAAGCTCAAAAACCACCTCTTTTGTTTTCGCATGCTTTTATGATTACAACAATTGTCGATAGTCATCATTGATCATAATTATAGCACTTGAATAATTCGTGTACATGTCTATTTAATTAGCAGGTAATATTTGGGGCGCCTTAGGAAAGAATGCCCTGTTTTATAGACATAAGTAATAGAAAGGGAAAGCTAGTAATAAAAACTTGCTTATGGTGAATTTTCATGCAATATAAACAGTAATTTATTGCCTTAGATTATGGTGGTGATTCTCATTTTCTGCAAATGTATCGATTGAAGGGTGGCACATCCACTTTCATTACTTGAAACAGAGCACTAAAGTAATTCTTGACTCTTAACATTTTGACTACATATCTTCGTCACAATTGCAACACCATTTTTACAACTATTATGGTTGATTTCTTTCCATTTCTGTACACATACTTCAGCTTGGATAATTTATTGTAAACCTATGAACAGGTAAATAGGGAGATTGTGAAAATCCAAAGAGTAAATGCTCCTGTGGGGCAGATGCAGCTGAAGAGCCTTATTGAAGCCCATGTTGTAAGTGCATGAATCAAAGATCAAACAGTATGAAAATGTATTATTATAATGTCCATGTGAATCACCAATACTCAAAGAATAAGATTCAAAATTCACTAATTTTTTTGGTTTAAGGAAAAAACTGGAAGCGGCAAGGGCTCTGCGATCCTGAAGGAGTGGGACAAATATTTACCACTGTTTTACCAGCTGGTTCCACCTAGTGAAGAAGACACTCCAGAGGCATGTGCAGACTATGAGCAAACAGCTGCTGTCGATGTGACTTTGCAGTCCACCGCATAGACTAATATTGGCACTGTACAATGAAACCCAACATAAAAGACCCAGAAGTTTCCAACCTACCTTGTATAGATCGTAGAGAAACGTGACTGTTATACTGGAAAACTCGGTGCTAATATATGGGATTTCGAAGGGCCTTTGCACCATTGCGGACAACAAGCTACAAGTAGAAGAACATCACTGCCTGGAGTCTAAGAATCTGATCATAACATTCTTCCACTAGTGCAGATGTATAGTGAGTGCTTGAGGTAGAAATTGTAAATTCAAGCTTGTTCATATAGTTCTAGTCTTATCAAAACTGCTGCTGTTGAGACTGCAAGCCAGTTCAGAGCTCCACTCTTGTGAAAGCTTTGGTGACAGTACATTTGCTTGCCATTCTTGTTCCGTTTGCGCCTAATGAAATGAAAATCACCTTTGAGCTTTTATTTAGATTACCAAATTTCATATTATCCTTACCCGTTGCATTTATTTTGTTGTAGTTTACAAATGTGAATCCATGTATTTTTGGGATTTGAAAAGTTTCCACTGAATGAAACCAATTTTCCACTTGTGTTTGAATCCTGCCATTGTATTGATAAAATTTAAAAGTACTCTTGCGAAAGACTTGGATTCTCATTGTTCCACAGATTATTCTGCCTATTGTGTCTTAAACATCAACATTCCTTTTTTCCTTTTATTTTTTATTTTTTATTTTTTATTTGTTGTACAAGCGATATTGGGGGAGGGGTAATTGAACTTTGGACCTCAAGTGTAGTGGTAAATGCTCTTAACCACTTGAGCCACAAGCCCTTGCACATCATCATTCCTTAGAGTTTGAAATATGTATAAACAAACTAGGGAATGATGTTTAAACCTGCCCTATTGTGTCTCAAGTACCTGCCCCTATTTATTCTGAAGAAATTGATTCCCATCTCAGTTTTAGGTAGTCTTTAAAAAAAAAAAAAAAAAACTTTTAGTTTTATTAAAGGGGTGGGGGACGAATCAAATTAATGACTTAAATTCTTCTTTCTATATTTTCTTTAATAAATTGATATTGGGGCAAGGGAAGTTTGAACTCAAGATATGGAGTGTAGAAGTACACGGAGTTACAACAAGATCCAACAAAGAAAGAGAAAATAAAGTTGATAACATTTCAAAATGGTCATATGAAAATTAGATTTAGGTTCCTTAGAAATTTTTTAATGTAAAAGAAAGAATGGAATAGAATTCAACCAGACAAAGTAAGAGAGACGACGATAATCGGTCTAATTTGGTTGGACATAACTTGGTCAAATTTAGATTAGAACTTCAATCCAATGAATGCCAACAAAATTCATAGAATTTCCATTGCCATTCTTCCTTGTATGGTAAGGTAACTGCAGTTTAGCCTCCCTACTAGGACTGCAGTTTGAAGCAGGCAAAGTGCAGAGGCCATTGTTATGGTCAAGGATGATCAAATTTGAATAGAGTAAATTAAAACAACAGTGTTCAAAATAGGTTGCCCATCGATTAGGTACTAGGTAGGTAGGGACGTAGGTAGGCATGGCAGGCGGCTAGAGAAGCTGCCTCGGGATTTCCTTAACTGCAAGAAACTTCCTTAATTTACGACAAAAAATGAAAAATAAAATGGGAAGTTTCTTCTTAGTCAAGTTAATTAGCAGACAAATTTTCTGTCAGTGTTATTTCTTAGCGTTTATGCATTGTACTTGAACTGTACATGTTTTCTATGTCATGTTAATTGCGTGCTAAAATGGTTTACTGACCACAATTGCATTTTCCATGTGCTTTTGATTTAATTAAATGAGGTGGTGCATATTGCTAACTGATCCATCAGCCAAGTCGATTTCCCAACCCTCAAACTCTGGGGTCTACTTCAAATTGGCATCCAATCATGTAAGACCCTACAAAATCATCATACGCAAACTTACGAAAAATCTAGAACATAGTGATGTCCCACTTGTGACATCAATCACATATTCATGTAAGCAAAAATAAAGACCCACTGCATTTCACGCAAAAAAAAAAATAGTGGTTAATTTGACTGTTTGACAAACGGAGTCGCTAATAATGTCACAATTTACAAATTTTAAGTTACCTTTTGGAAATTTTTGAAAGATAGTGACCAACTGTTACGTCTCACAAACCACAAAGATACAAAATATATACATCCCAACCCAACATAACAACTTGCATGGTTAGGACAAATCGCATTCTCCCTCTCCCTGGCTGAATTCTAAAAGATACATTCATGCACCATCACTTGAATTGAGCCACGAGTTGTTTATCTATTCTTTCCACAGTATTACCTTAAGGTCCCCTTTTTGCATCAGATTCGTAGAATCCGTGCCTCTTTCTATCTATATATATATATATATATATATATATATGAGAGAGAGAAAGAGGGAGAGAAAGAGAGAGAGAGGGAGAGAGCCAGTTGAACCTGCCCCATTGTTAAGAGCTCAACTTGTCGTTGTACGAAAAGCAGGGTTTGCTGGTATGCCTATGGGACCAAAAGGCTGCCCTGCCTACTTAGACATAATGGCGATGGGTTTTGAATTGAACTAGTTATAATAATGGATGGTTGACGTGCAGCAGGCCAAGTTGGGATGTTATCAAAACAAGAGGCCTTCAAATTCTTCTGTCTCCATCATTTATTTTTCTCCAACTTGAAGCCAATATAAATTTTTATAGATTTCCCCAACTTGGTGGCATACTAGGTATTACTGAGATGAGACACATTAGATCGACTAATCAATATTATATCCTAACAAAATATCATATCCTCACAAATACTTTTTTAATTTTTTATTCGTCAAGCATCAAAATGTTGAAAAATATTATAATAACAAACCTTCACAAAGGAAAAGGATGTAATTTAGTGGATTTACTTTTAGGTAGCCTACTATTGATTGAGCAATTTTTGTTTTTATTTTTGCTGTGTGAAATTCTTTTCTTGAAAGTAAATATATGTTTAAAATAAATAAGATAGCCAATGACATGAATTGCCATATAATATGTCATATGTGTTAGTATCAAAGAGTTGGTAAATCAGGTGGTGCATGTAGCGCTATTGATAGACGCAATGGCGGAACTAGCAATTTTTCAACAGGTGGACTAATTAAAGTTCTTTTCTTAATACTTGAAGCGCGTTCATAGACATAACCATGATTAACTTTTTTACTTTGATATATTTAACCATTGTTATACCCACGAGAAGAATAATGAGCATATTAAATTAAAATGGTGAATAAAAATGCTCCTTAAGTATATCCATAATATCTATTTAGAAAGATCATTGTTTTTTTGTTGTTGGTAATTTGTTGACACTTCCCAAATTTTGATCGCCTATATTTTTGATATAATATTGTCAAAATAACAGACAACCACCAAAACCAGAAGCAAAAAAACATGAGGTTATGATAATCCACAGAGAAATATACAATATTATTATATGTTGCCCATGGTTTAAACTTTAAAGTTAAACTTACTTTTTGTCTTAACTCCTAAATTAAGCAAAATGAGTCCACGTGGATGCATGCATGTCGGCTTGAATTAAGCAAAACGAGGAAAGAAATATCTCTCTCTCTCTCTCTCTCTCTCTCTCTCCCCTCGTTCTCTTCTGTTCTCAGTGTCTTCCTCGTGCTCTCCCCCCCTGGGTGCTGGCTTTAACTCTTCCCCCTTTGACTCTCTCTTTTTGGTCTCAAGTTTTTGTTAATTTATTATTTAATTAAAATACCTACCTCTTCATTTTTATAAATAATTTATAAGGTCATTCTAGGCAGATAGATTTTCTAGTTTCCCAACATAGGACGCGTTTGGTTTCAAGGGCTAGATTCTCGGTGTTTGGATTAGTACCATCCCCCCTTCTCTTTACCTCTTGCTTTATTTTATGAATACTTAACTACCCAATACGGCAATTGCGCTTTGTTTTTGGTATTAAAATAAGACTGCACCCCAAACCTACCAGTGGGTTCCAACCTTCCACATCTTAAAACAGCAATGTGACTTCTTCTTTTTTTATGAGCAAAGTTTAGGAGGAGATTGGGTACTCTCACTACTAGCTAGCATCAGGGCATATCCACAAGAGCAGGAAGAACTTATGCGTAGCACCCAACTATCAGCCGCCACCGGTATAGATTTATGTAGAAAATTACAGATCAAGCACCAATGAGGACTGCTGACAGCGGGACTGAACATTGGTAGAGCTGCACACAATACAGAGACCTTACGAACGGAACCGACCCTCGTTGTTAAAATAGCAATGTGACTTTGTACATCTCAAATCTTAGCAATTTGAATGTGAATGTTTATTGTGAGTAGGATATTATGATGTATACGCCTATCTTGTACAATAAACAATATCACTATATATATATAACGAAATTCTCACAATAATAATATAGACAAATCTCTCACCAATGTCACTAAATGATATATAACACAAATCTCTCACAATAACAATGTGACTATTTTTGATATCACAAATCTGTCACAATAACAATGTTACTATATCACGTCAATATCAGGGTCGCTCTCTCGTTCATGTGAGGAGAGCCTTGACGACTAGGGTTAGGGTTTCTCTAGTTTTCTTTACTCATTCTCTGCGCAATCTCTCTCAGTCTTCTTTGATTGTCTCTCTGGATTCTTCTTGGTGTATTGGGTACGACTTTTTTTTGCAATTTTGTTCTCTGTGGGGTAGCTGACTGACTTCCTTTCTGGGTTCCCAAGGAGGTAGTCACTGGTGAGGGATCTCCCACATCTTTTTTTTGCTAATTCTTACTATGTAATGTTCCTTTCGGTTTAATGTAACATCCCACATCAACCAACAAAGAGGGGGTAATGTGCTTTATATGTACATGCCCGTCTCCATCTAGTACGAGGTCTTTTGGGAGCTCATTAGCTTCGGAGTCATGGAAACTCCGAAGTTAAGCGAGTTGGGGCTAGAGCAATCCCAGAATGGGTGACCCACTGGGAAGTGCTCGTGAGTTTCCATAAACAAAACTGTGAGAGCAGAGAGGGAGGCCTAAAGCGGACAATATCGTGCTATGTCGAAGTTGATCTCGGGATGTGACATTTAATGAAATACAATATTTTCTCAAACAAAAAAAAAAAACAAACAAATAAACAATATGACTATATGATATCCAAGATATATACGACAAATCTCTCACAATAACAATATGACGTACCATACAATATCTGTAAGATATATACAACAAATCTCTCACAATAATAACGTTACCCTGTATACAAACAGTCCTTCACAATAATAACATGACCGTATGGTGTAGTACAATACATCGAATCTCTCGCAATTGTATCCAACGAATCTCGACAAAATTGATAATAAGTTAAATGAACATGACCAGGGGACTATTGTATATTTTGGGTAATTTTGTACTGCCAGAATCATGACTAGTCTCTGTGCCATTATGAGTAATTCCCAACAA